ACGCTAAATTAAATGTCATGTAAAAATTATTTGACAAAAAATAAGTTTCTTTTTAGTTTCCAATGCAATTTTAGCTTTTATATTTCAATTATATCCTATAATTAATGTTATTTCTCTGTTTTGTTGTGATTGACATTATGTTTGGTAAAACTAACTTAGCATAGACATGTTGAAATAAGATGTTCTATAAATTGGAGAAAAATGTCGGACAAAGATGTCCTATACAAAATCATTTGAGATTGTGTCTGTGTACAACTAGACTTTGGGAAATTGTTAGTTTGTTACAAACGCAGAATATTCTATGAATATTATGCAATCCTATGTGGCTCTCAATTTAAGGATAGAAGATTGTGTCTGTTTTCAAGGAGTATTCTCAGTTTCTAAATATGGAGAATTTTTAGGAAACTAAATGATTGAAGTCCTAAATTTGGGGAGAGAATATTGGAGCATTTTTAGAAGCTGTTTTGTTATGTTTTGAAGCCCAAATTCAGTCCAGAAAGAGGTTATAAATATAAGATTTTAAACCTAAAGAAGACACGAGTCAAGTATGTAAAAGTATCATATATTAGGGCTTCGTCTATGTGCCACTCTCTAGAAGAGTTGTTTTTTATTATTTGTGAGCCTCTCTAATATCATACTGATAAAAGAGTAGGATTGTTGTTAGTTGAGTTGTAACTATGTATCACTCATGAGCTTTTAAGCATAGATTGGAGTATTATTCTTGGAGGAAGCTTGTAAGTAACTCTAAGTATTATTGTTAGTCGACAGTCTTGGCTTGGTTGGGTCATTGAAAGACATGTTGTTGTATTCGAGTGAAAAACATATTTACTACCCATAATTACGAGGGAGGAGCATTTGCAACATCTCAAAGTGAAGGATCTTGGATTGAAATCAACAAGATATCACTCAACACCCAAGTGGAAAATTTCAATCACTTCACTACATATTGTAGAAGTATAGTAGTTTGCATCATTATAAGAATTAACAAGAGTCTAATCTCTGAGAAAAGATTTTTTAAAGAGGAAAGTGCATAAAGGGCACAAAATGATTTAAATGAGTTAGAGTATTTTGTTGGGAGAATATTTCAAATGATCCTAAGGTTGAGTTAAGGGGAAAGTTATCCTAATGTTATCATGCTTGTATTAACATCCTAAGGTCTAATCAAAATAAGACGATCAAAAGAAAAAATTAATTGCCTCATGGAATCCTAAAGGAGCATGCCAGATCAACAAAAGATAATGCTCAATACTATATCATCTTATTTGATCAATATTACACAAAGAAAACACATAAAACATGATGTTTAAACTTGATTTAAAAAAGAAATTAAGAACATGAAGAAATAAAATCTAATTAAATCCTAAAATACTTCTAAAAAGCCTAAAGTATTTTTACATATCTTTTTATTATCTTTATTATTATTATTATTATTATTATTATTTTATTACCTAAAATCAATAAAATAAATTTAAACTAAAACAATTAAAATGCAAGATAAAAATTAAAAGAATGAGAAATAGAGGGGGTATGAAGTCAGAACCAAGGGGTGTAATCAGAAATGAACCATAGACGCATGGCCCGACTTATATGAGGTCCAACAAGGAGTTTTTGTCCAGGAAACATATATGCCAAAAAAATGTTATGGGCCTGGGAGCAGTTTCAGTCCACTTAATCCCATTACCCATCTTATTATGAATCAACAATGTATTTTTCAGCATTTGGTTTTTATTATTAAAAACAATTAAATTAATTAAACAAAATAAAATGAAGTTAAAAGAAAAAAAATGATTCATTTTGGTTTCAGAGGATAGGGTTAAAAAATGTGACCATTGGACTTTTGTGCATAATGCTCCTCTCCAATCTCTTATCAATTTGTGGCACTAATGGATTCTTCCTCACAAATCACCATCGATCTCCGTCGTATTCAAGTTTCCACCTCTGATCCAAGTCGTATCCATCAACAACTTTAAGATACGATGTCGTTATTGCTTCTGGTGTTTGATTCAACTTAATCACGCAGCATCGCTGCAAACTTCTCCGGTGAACCTTCGACGATACACCACCATCAAAACACTTTATCCTCCATAGTTTATCATCAACTTTTGTTAACCTTTGACGTTGTTTCCATTCGATTCTTACAACACCGCGGATCCAGGCTTCAATGCCCTCGCCTTCATCACTCACGGATTAGTATCAACGGTTTTTTCTTCTCCCGATGCTCATGTCTAATTCGATCTACTTTGTCATAGTGGCTCTGCCTTCACCATTCTCGATTTGTCGTTCATGAATCATCACCTTATCACTTCATTAGTTTGCTTCATGCTCCTTCTTCGTTTCAGAACTTCAGCGTCACGGCTCATTTAAACATCTTAAACTCAAAATTTAGATTGTTGCTTCACGGGGCTCCGTCTATTGCTGTAAGTCCTAGAGGCTAATAATTTTGGTACTTGTATCAAATTATTTATTAATAATAAAAATTCCAATACTATTGGTGTAAACCTTCATCTCGACGTGATTCAAGATACTTAAATATTAGAAGACCCTATTTTTTAGCCCTAAGATATCATGCAATGTTTATGGTTATGAATGCAGACACAAAGGATTATGTGGGAAACACAAACCTTTACTGAGGATGATAATGCATATATGAAACTATAATTTGAAACCTGTTATAGAAATATGCCAAAGAGAGTTCACTAGGAAAATAAATCATTGGGAACGACATGACTTTGGGGATGACTGTGTTTAGGGAAAACCAAAAACACAGTTGAATGATAAAAGGCAAAGTAAGATCCCATTGAGGAAATACTTAATAATGCAAACAACAAGCCAACAAGGGAGTAATCTTCAAGAAATTTTTACCTACTCGACTGGGGAAAGAAATTTAACTCAGTTGGAGAAAGAGAACTTAACTCCACTAGGGAAAGGAAAACTCAACTTTACTGAGGTAAAGGCCAAAGAGGAGAAAGAGGAAATAAGATAACACCATCCCAGTAAATGAGAGTAACACCAACTTACAGATAACATTAAACTACCAAATCAGGGTTGAAGGTAGAAAGGCAAAATAATACCGACTCACAGATGATGATAAACTACCAACTCAATAGACGAAAGTAGAATCTGCATTGATAGTAATAAGTTTTCCTAAATATTCTGTTATTCCACCTAGAATGGGTCTTAATTTCTTCTTTGATCAAGATATCACTTGAAAAGGGTAATAAACTTCCTCTGACTTCAAGATGTAACCGAGAACGGGGAATAGTTTCTTCTTTAACCAAGATATCACTTGAAAAGGGTGATATAATTCCTCTGACTTCTGGATTTTACCGAGAACAGGGGATAATTTCTTCTTTGACCAAGATATCACTTGGAAAGGGTGATAATCAAGATCCCTAAAAGGTAACCACTTGTTATAAGGAATTAATAACATATTATCTCTATCACATCGAAGAGATCAATCATCTATTGGAGTAGATAAAACCTTAACAATGAACTATCTCTATCATATCGAAGAGATCAACCATCCATTGGAGTGAATAAAGCCTCAACAATGAACTATATCTATCATATTGAAGAGATCAACCATCCATCGGAGTAAATCTAATCTTTAAAATGAATTATCTCTCATAATGAAGAGACCATCATACATCAGAGTAAATCCAATCTAAACAATGAATTATCTCCAATAACAAAGAGACTACAATCCATCAGAGTGTAAAACCTCAATAACAAACTATCTCTTATAACGAAGAGACTACCATCCATTGGAGTGTAAAACCTCAACAACGAACCATCTCTCATAACAAAGAGACTACCATCCATCGGAGTAAAAACCTCAACAACGAACTATCTCTCATAACGAAGAAACTACCATCCATCTGAGTAAAAATCTCAACAACGACTTATCTCCCATAACAAAGAGACTACCATCCATCAGAGTAAAAACCTCAACAACGAACTATCTCCCATAACAAAGAGACTGCCATCCATTGGAGTGTAAAACCTCAAAAACGAAATATATCTCATAATAAAGAGACTACCATCCATCAGAGTAAAAACCTCAACAAGGAACTATCTTCCATAACAAAGAGACTACCATCCATCAGAGTGTAAAACCTCAACAATGAACTATCTTTTATAACGAAGAGACTATCATCCATCGGAGTAAGTAAAAAAATATCAACAATAAACTATCTCCCATATAAAAGAGATCGACCATTCATTGGAGTAAATACTCAACAACGAACTATCTCTATCATATCGAAGATATCAACCATTCATTGGAGTAGAAACCTAAATAACAAACTATCTCTATCATATCGAAGAGATCAACCATTCATTGGAGTAAATCCTCAAGAAATATCTTCTCTGAGGATTAACAGGCTTACTGGGGAAAAACAAGTTGCTCAAATAAAGAGACTTCCAGTTTCTATTAGGAAAAGGATTTGAATAACACTTATGGTAAATGAATTTTGACTTGCTGGGGAAATACCAACACATTCCCGCTGAAGAGATAAAGTCTTCACGTGCAAAATAAATTCACATTCTCAATCTACGTTCCACAACCTAGAGAGGTAAAAAATAAAATTGTTGGGAACAAAAGTTTGAACCCGAAATAAATCAGAGAGAAATAGTCAACCAAAACTCTACCTAATAAGAAATGAGCTCAACTGGGGAGTTGATGTTCTTGGCCTAACTAGGAAAGTTACTTTGAGTTTGTTGTTCCTGGTTTGGATAGAAGATAGATGTCTATTGAAGACCTTGAAAGTGAACAAGGAATATTCTAATTTTCTGGGAGAAGTAATGTCTTCAGAACCAAGATCAACATTGTGTTCTTTTAAAGGGGAACTGATATTCGAATAGACGTTGAAACATTATATCAACAAGGTATACTAAATCCTGTTTGGACAAAGGAATTGCATAACATATGCTCTAGTTCTAAATAGATGTGTGTTGATCACATATGTTTGGAAATTTCTCATGTATTTGAAGAGGCGTATGGGTTGTGTGTCTAAGAAGTTTCTATCCAAGAAACATGTCTTAGATACGTGTGCCAATCAAGAGATTATCAACATATTATTTACTCCTTAGGTCAGTTTATTTATGATAAAAGTAAGCAGGAGTGCTTAGGTTGAGCTCTAATATTTAGTGGAGATGTTTCATCTAAGCCAGGTTCATGGTATATGCAGATTAAGCTTAAATGTCCAGGACATTCTCTCTATCATCTGGAAACTCTCTTCTCCAAAGATTCTAGATTTGTGTGATCTTGTTCAAGTGGAACAAGTTCTGATTGAGTTAGAACAAGGGGAGTAATGTGTGTGTGTGCGCACTAACCATGTGAGGTGATACTATTGAGAGGGAGTCCCTAATCTAGATATGGAAGACCTTGGAGAAATGTCAGATATAATGTCTTGACATCACTGTGTTGAGAATTTATTTTTCTCAACTTATATGGCTTGTGTTTCTCATAAATATGATGAAGGTTTTTTTACTCAAACTTGATATTATTATCAAGTCTATGAGAACAAGGAACTCATGTTCTGTTATAGTGAAAGAGACATTCAAGGGGTTGTGTGCAATGGATATGCATCAACTTAGTTAAGTTAATACTCTTCTGGAAGAATAACTCATAGTGTGTACGGAGATTTGAAGTCTATCTCGACTTGTGTGACTCATTCAGTGGTTGATTGGTGTCTGGATTTTGGAGTGTCATCCAAACTATTTGGGATGAACTTTCCAGTTTTAATTCTTTAATTATTGAGAGAGGAAGACTTATTCTGATTAGTCTATTTGTGGTATGATGATCATCCAATACCATGTTTGATATGGTCAATGCTATAAGTGTCTGGTAGAGGGAATCTCTTCTTTTTTTGCATAACAATGGTGTATAAAGTCAGATAAGAGGTCTGGAGATTGTGCTTATTAGAAGAAGTTTCTTGAGGTGTGTACTATGCAGGCTACTACATGTTTTTATGATCTGGTCTTGGAGGTTGATCAGTTGTTGATGAGTTCTAGTACGGTTCTCTTGGGTTTATTTCAAGAGATATGTTTGGATTACTATGGTTGTTGTCTAAGCCATGGTTAATGATTAAATCCATATGATTGATAATGATGTTTGAATTTATGTTGAAACATCATCTCAAGGGTTTTCTCCTTTATCTAAGGAAGTATTTTTTTAGCCCATGGTGGAGTAAAGTCAAGTCACTGGCCTAATATGGCATAGTGTATGGTGTGAATATCTAACATGACTTGTTGGCATAATGAAGAATCCACTTGTGCTAAGTGGTGTGCAGAAGAAGGATGTCAGGTCATATGTTCAATCATCTTGTGAGGAGGTAGTCTTATCTACTAATTCTTCTTCTGATGAAGGTTTTGCACGTGGCTGATGGCAAATACCCTGACGAGAGTTGTGTATTTGTCTGATGTGCTGATACAAGTTTGCAATCTGGAGTTTTTGCTTCAGAAAGTGTATGATAGTTTATCTCTCTCCACAATATTCTAGTGTTTGTTATAACTTGAATGAGCTGCAGAAGGTGTGTTTGTAAGAGCTTCTTGTATAGCTTGAAAGAAGGACATTCAAGCATAATGAGTCATATGGATGGTGGATCAAGAACCAAAGTGAATGGGTTTTGTGATAAGAAGTTGATGTCCTAAATGATGCTGTAACATCAGGCTTATTGGTGGTTATCCTTGGCATATTCCTCGGATTAAAATGTAGAGTTTGATCCTCAACATTATTGTCAGAAGAGGTATCTATGACTATGTGGATTAGAATGAGAAGCTTTTAATCTTGTCTACAGTAGTTTTTTTGATGATTGCATAACTACTATGTTCAAGACCCAACATGTATAAATAATTACAAGTGGAGTGCAAGGAAGGAGTGTCAGATAAAGTGATTTAATTTGTTTGCTTATGAGGAAGTGGTTTCTTTTACTGCAAGTAACTATGGATCTTAAGAAGAAAGTAAAATGAAGATTTTGTTTGACATATGAGTAATGTCAAAGCAAGTGTGCATGACATCTTGTTCATCCAATGAGGTGTGACAACATGTGTGGATCTGTAATGCGATGTATCAGATATGTCCTTGAATAAGTCAAAATACCTAGATGTACTCTCAAGGATTTAGAGTATCTGGATCTGTAAGAATCAAGATTAATTTTACAGTATGTAAATGTGTTTCGAAAGTGTGTTGAACCAGGTGCATAAAGTTTTACTCCTCCACTATGAGAGTATTAAGTCTTTCATGTGATTTTATCTTGTTCTCGAGTGTTCGTCTTTGGTAGGAGCAATGA